TTCTGGAATTTCATGTACACAAATTGTTAAACACCTAATTATAGTTTAAGTCATGTTAAATAATTAATTATGTCTACTAATCATAATATAATCATAAAATTATACTACTCTAATATTTAATCTAGATAATTATTTACTAAAACAACAATTTTTTGTAAAATTAAATACACAAATAATCAATAAGATAGAATTATTGCATATTTTATTATGTTAGTTTTTAATTTCATACAATACGTGGACAATCTCTAGTTATATATATTATAAAAGTTTATTTTCGATTCCTGTGGTAATGACACATGTCCTCAATTTTTTCAAAGAAAAAAAACAAAGGGTTATGATTGTTTGGCCAAAAGTTGTATTGTTTGGAAGATGCATGTATTCTTTTAGCCAAAAATTGTATCGTTTGGAAGATGCATGTATTCTAGAATTTTTAGGTTTTAAACAAAATTCTCTCGACTTCCATATATCTTCTCAATTTCATGTTGTTGACTCCAGAAAAAAACAACCATTCTATGGAACAATGATGAAGATTCGATCTCTCCCAAATTATGTAGCATGAATCTTACCAATTTTTTTTCTTTTCTCGGCAATTATTTTGTTATGAATTTTTCTCAGATAGGTTTTGTTGTTTGAGTTCAACCCAAATATTTGGTTAGTTGTTGACCAACCAATGTAAAAAGGTTCATTTAAATTTAATTTCTAGAAGATTTTATTACTTAACAATTTAACATCATATTTGAGTTATGGATTTTATGGTGATTGTGAAGATGTTGCAAAAAGTAATATTTAAATATCTAAGAAGACCGAGAGGAGAACGATATGTCAACTTGGTTTATGGAGACGAAAAGCCAACGAATAAAGGTATAAGAAGCTTATATAGATCCGAGCCATCTGAAGTGTAAAATCGTTTTTGGCTCACCGAATTATCCAAGACGGAAGACGAGAATTTGTTTGAGTAATCAAATTACTTATACTTTTTTTGTAATAACAGTATGAATAAACTTTTTATAAAGCGGGATTCTCGAGGTAGCCGCACTATAACATTTTTCATCTGAGAATGGTCTTCCGACTCCGATTATCCACTGGCGTCGTCATCGAAGTGTTTTCCTGAAGCCACTGCCGTTGCCCTACACTGTTTCCGCTGAGTATTTCTGATCTTCCACCTCTCGAACAGTGAAGAACATGTCCGGTCTAGGCTCTCTCCGTCTCCTCGTGATGTCAAAGTCAATTATCTGTCGTAAAAATGTCCTTCCCCCGGAGCCGCCAGATCCGGCGACGGTAACATCCGTGAAAAGCGCAAACCCTTTGAAACCACCGGAACCACCAGACCCACCAGATCCACCTGATTCACTATATTCCTATGGGCCACCGACCCTCTCCCGGATCTACCCATCCGCCTTGTCTCCTGTCGGTTCAGTCTATTCATCTGCTCTTTCTTCGGTGAACCCTCAAAGGGTCAGATCTGATTTGGACTCTGGTACGAGGCCCCTCACCATCTCGCAAGTCACCTCCAATGAGCTTGTCGAGGGCAATTCCAGTCTCCCTCTTGAAGTCGAATCATCCCTCGCCCCATGGAAACAACCATATCCGCCGCTTCTGTGGCCAGCCTTTCCGTCAAAGATCTGTAGCTCGACCGTCGTCTCAAGCCCCTCATCGCCAGCATCTCAAAACCCTAGTATGAATGCCATCCTCTTACGTCTGGGCCTAGACCAGTCTGGTTGCTCAGTAGCCCATCTAAGACCCACATCAAGATTTTCATCCTCTGTCGGCCCAGTAATAATCCAGGTCACAAAGCTCACACCTTAAATATGTCTCGCTCAATTTACTCTTACAAAGAGATATCACTTTCACACGTTTGTTTCACCAACGTTTCATTGGGTATTCTCTCGTATGTCTCTACCGGTGGATCTCCGGCTCTTTCCTCCTTCACGGAGAGACCTTACTCCTTCACGGAGAAACCTTACTCCTTCACGGAGAAACCTTCCTCGTTTACCGAGAGATCACTTTCGCAAACTTCCTCCTTTTTTGGAGAGATCACCCTCATCACATTCCTTCGGTTCGGAGAGACTCATCCCACCAACCTCCTCCTACATGGAGATGGTTTCAAAACGCTCGGCCTTGACTGCATCAAGAGCTAATAGATGTGTTCACTTGCCTTTATTGGAAGAAGAACTATCGCCTTCTTCGGTATCCAAGCGGATCCGAGAGCAACCGGTTATGACCTATGGTTTTAAT